ATGTAGAGAAGAAAAAAAAAGTTTGTCCTTTCCTCCTCCTTGAGAGCCCCAGACCCTATTCTTCTCCTTGGGGACCCTGGACTTCTTATCAACCTGCCTAGGAATTGACTCTCTCATTCCTAAATGGCTTTTACATTTTTCTTCCTGACCAGCAGTGTATGGGAGTTCCCATTGCTTTATATCCTCATCAGCATACAGTGCTGTCAGGATTCCAGATGTGGTCATCTGAAGCTGTATCTCACTGTCGTCTTAATTTGCCATCCTCTGGTGACACAAGATGTGGTGCATCTTTACAAATTTATTGCCATTTTGTATACTTTTCTTTCTGTTGAAGTGTCTATTAAAATTTGGCCCTTTAAAAAATGGACCGTTTCCTTTTCTTTGAATTTTAACAGACCTTTATATGTTTCTGCCTGCAATGCAGGAGACCCCAGTTCAATTCTGGGGTGGAAAGATCCATTAGAGAAGGGATAGGCTACCCACTCTAGTATTCTGACCTGGAGAATTCCATGGACAATTCTCCAGCATTGCAGGCAGATTCTTTACCAGCTGAGTCACAAGGGAAGCCCTCAATGGACTTATGGGATCACAAAGAGTCAGACACGACTGAGTGACTTTCACTTTCACTTTGTATGTTTCAATAATAGTCCTTAATCAGATATGTCTTTTCCCCATGTTTTCTTTCAGTCTATGGCTTGTCTTCTCATTATCCTGATACTGTTTTCACAGAGCTAGGTGAGTACATTTAGTGAAGTTCAGCTTATCAATTATTTCTTCCATGGATCATGCCATTTGTATTATGTTATCACTATACCCAAAGTCATTTAGATTTTCTCCTATGCCTCTTTCAGAAGTTCTCTAGCCTTTTATTTTACATCTGGGTGAATGGTTCATTTAGAGAAGATTTTTATGAAGAGCTTTGTGAAACTCTGAATCTAGATATATTATTTTTGTATATGGACATCAATTACTCCAACACCATTTGTTCAAAAGACTATTTTATTCCATTGTATTGCCTTTGTCCATTGTCAAAGATTAGTTGACTGTATTTATGGGGATTTATTTCTGTGCTTTTTATTCTGTTCCCGTGGTCTATTCTTTCACCATTACCACACTGTCTTGTTTACTGTAGCATTATTGTAGGTCCTGAAGTCAAGTAGCATCAGTCTTCCAGTTTTGTACTTCTCCTTCCATATTTTTTCTGCAGATTGAATCTTTTGCCTCTCCACCTAAATTTTAGAATCAGCTTGTCCATATTCACAAAATAACTTGCTGGGAATTCTGAATGGAATTGCATTGAATATATAGATCAAGTTAGAAAGAATTGAAGTCTTGACAATATTGAGTCTTCTTATTCATGGACAAGACATATCTCTCCATTTGTTTAGTTTCATTTAGATTTTATTCATAAGAATTTTGTAGTTTCTCTCATATAGAACATGTAAAATTTTCATTTGACTTAACTATAATATTTCATTTGGGGAGTGCTAAGGTAAATTACATTGTCTTTTTTATTTCAAATGCTGCTTGTTTATTTTGGTATATTGGCTTTTGTGTATTAATGTTTAAATCCTGAAACCTTGCTATAATCTTTAATTACTTCCAGGAGTTTTTCTTTTTTTGATGATTCTTTCAGATTTTCTAAGTGATGGTAGTGTAGTCTGTATGCAAAAATAATTTCTGTCTTCCTTACCAATGTGAATATTTTAATTTACATTTCTTGTCTTATTGCATATTGGAAGCAAAACCTTCCAGTGTGATGTTGAAGAGGAGTGGTGAGTGGGGACAGCCTTGCCTGATACCTGATACTAGTGTAAAATCTTCAAGGTTTTCATCATTAAGTAAGATGCGGTGTGTGCATGCATAGTCATGTCCAAATCTTGGGACCCTATGGACTGTAGCCTGCCAGGCTCCTCTGTCCATGGTATTTCCCGGGCAAGAATTTCCCAGGTATTTCCTTTTCCAGGGGATCTTCCCAACCCAGGTATCAAACCTGTGGCTCCTAAACTGCAGGCAGATTCTTTACTGCTTGAACCATCAAGGAAGCCCCAAGTAAGATGTTAGCTCCAGTGTGTGTTTTTTTTGCTAGATATTATTGAGCAAGTTGAGAAAGTTTCCCTATATTTTATCTGCAAGTTTTTATGATAAGTAAGAGTTGAATTTTCTCAAAGGCTTTGAGAAACACCTTTTTTACAACCATGTGACTTTTCCTTTTCATTCATATTGATGCAATGAATTATAGAAATCAATTACAGAAATTGATTTTTAAATGTTTAGCTTTGCATACTTATAATAAATGTCAAATGCCTGAGGTTTATAATTCTTTTTATACACTGTTGGATTCGATACACTAGTATTTTGTTGAGAATGCTTGCCAGAGGATGAGATGGTTGGATGGCATCACTGACTCAATGGACATGAGTTGGAGTAAACTCCGGGAGTTGGTGATGGACAGGGAGGCCTGGTGATCATGGAGTTGCAGAGTCGGACACGACTGAGCGACTGAACTGAACTGAACTGATCTTGCTTGAGGACAGTTTCTTCCTCCTGAAAACCTTCTGACTAATCCTGATATTGAATGTATATTATGGAAGTGGGTCTGGTAGGATCTATCTATTGTTAAGTTCTAATCCTGCTACCCTAAAGTGTAAATTGTGGGAGTAGGTCTGGTAAAATTTTTACAACCTTGAGACATTCTTTTGATTTACTATAATAACTAATTTAAAAAGTATGTAATTCCCTTGCTAAAGACTACCAAGTGGGGCACTCTCCGTCTCCCTTCTGATGTCTATGTCAGAAACTTTCCCTGTCCCTTTTCATACTTTAATAAAACTCTGCTACAAAAAAGCTCTTGAGTGATCAAGCCTGGTCCCTGGTCACGAAGCTAAAAATGTTCTTCTACAGAGATGGAGAATTCAGCACTGTTCACCATAAGCTATCAATTGTAGAGTTATCCATTCAGCTGAATCATGATGTTCTAACTGGGGACCCTCAGAAGCAGGCAGGTGAAACTGGAAGTGTTGTAAGGATGCACTTCTGACCCAGGGGACAGTGTGAACAATGGCAGGAAGATGCCCAAAGTTCTGCTGGGCCCAATACTCCGTGTGTGATGGCTCAGCCCTGAGAAAGCATATAAGGAAGAAGACATTAAGAGGGAGGGAAGGTCAGATGGAAAGGATTTTATAAACTCTAACCAGGCTTCCCTGTCCCTGGAATTTTTCCAGGCAAGAGTACTGGAGTGGGTTGCCATTTCCTTCTCCAGGGGACCTTCTTGACCCAGGGATCGAACCCTGGCCCTCCTGCATGGCAGGCAGATTCTTTACCGACTGAGCTACCAGGGAAGCCTCAAACTCTGCTAGTTCAGTTCAGTTCAGTAACTCAGTCGTGTCCGGCTCTTTGCGACCCCATGAATCGCAGCGTGCCAGGCCTCCCTGTCCATCACCAGTCCCCGGAGTCCACCCAAACCTACATCCATTGAGTCGGTGATGCCGTCCAACCATCTTATCCTCTGTTGGCCCCTTCTCCTCCTGCCTTCAATCTTTCCCAGCATCAGGGTCTTTTCCAATGAGTCAGCTCTTTGCATCAGGTGGCCAAATTATTGGAGTTTCAGCTTCAACATCAGTCCTTCCGTTGAACACTCAGGAATGATCTCCTTTAGGATGGACTGGTTGGATCTCCTTACAGTCCAAGGGACTCTCAAAAGTCTTCTCCAACACCACAATTCAAAAGCATCAATTTTTGGCGCTCAGCTTTCTTAACAGTCCAACTCTCACATCCATACATGACCACTGGAAAAACCATAGCCTTGACTAGACGGACCTTTGTTGGCAAAATAATGTCTCTGCTTTTTAATATGCTATCTAGGTTGGTCATAGCTTTCCTTCCAAGGAGTAAGCGTCTTTTAATTTCATGGCTG